TGCCTAAGAGCTCAGCTCAGTCTCCCCTCTGGCAGGTTCAAGCCATTCCATACAAAGCAGTAAAAACCAGAACCCTTCACATCACCTGCCAGCACCGAGCAAATAACACAGACTGTGCAAAGGGACCTCCACACACACGGTGTGTAACAACTGAAACGCTGACATTCCAGCGACCAAAACACTGGGCTCTGCTATGCCTTCACCTGCTTGAGCAGCTCCTGTCTCTGCCTGCCTCTGAGAAAGAGGGTGCAAGTTATTTTCTGCCATCATATAGTACCTATTATATGGATTTGGGGGTGGGTTTTTTCATTCATGAATCTCTCCAGGTTTCCCATGCACGCACAGGAGCAGGCAGGATGTGCTAAGATTCTCTGAAATGGAAAAGAGGAAAGAGAAAGCTGACAAATTGTGACAGGGAAAGAAACCTCACCCATCAGGTTAAAGAACTCCTTGGTTCTCCTTTGGCTTTGCTAGACCTACCCGCTCCCAGTGGCACCCAGAAGAAAGAATGCCTCTGGTAAATCCCTGTTGCTTCCACGCAGGGCTGGGAATTCCCTGATATGCTCATAAATGAGGCTGCCACCCCACTTTACATCAAACCACGAGAGAACAGACAGGCCATTACTGATGGTTTGATTTACAAGAAAACAAATACAGGCAAAAAAAGCATCATTAAGGCTGTGGGTTTTCACCACATTTAACCATTCTGCAGTAATCTGTAATGCACTCCTAAACTCCTCACAGCAGGAGTTCAAATGCCCAAGACTCACAGAATCATGTCAGCTATTGATGACCTGTCTGATCCAGCCTCATTTCTACTGACATCTCCTTCCTCTGCCACACACTGCAGATGAAAAGGCTTTCACAGTGCTGAACTGTCAGAACTGGAGCCCAAATCTGTACTTTTGCTCTGCATTGCTCCAAGCACAAAGAGCAAGTTCCATGTTTGTGGGAAAAGAATAGGAATTCCAGGCAAATGCAATAAGCTGCATTGACAAGGATACTGGAGAGAGACTCTTCATCAGGGACTGCAGCGATAGGACAAGGGGTGATGGGTTCAGACTTAAACAGGGAAAGTTCAGGTTAGATATAAGGAAGAAGTTCTTTACTGTGAGGGTGATGAGGCACTGGAATGGGTTGCCCAGGGAAGTTGTGAATGTTCTATCCCTGGCTGTGTTCAAGGCCAGGTTGGACAGAGCCTTGGGTGGTATGGTTTAGAGTGAGGTGTCCCTGCCCATGGCAGGGGGGCTGGAACTGAATGATCTTAAGGTCCTTTCCAACCGAAACCATTCTGTAACTCCCTATATACACTGCTTTTAACTCAAAATGCTTTTAGACAACAGCCAAGAGGTACAGCAGAGCAGTAACCACCTGGGACTGCCAGTGCTGTGCACCATAGACGAATTGGACTCCAATAATGAAGACAAATCCCAAGCCCTTCTGATAGAGTGGTCTCTACCACTTGAAGCAAGAGAGAATCTCCTTTGGAATGACCAGCAATGAACTGTAGATGGCAGGACATGCCAGTGATCCCTTCTGGCCTGTCTCAGGGAAGATGAATTCAGCACAGTTCATTACACTTCCCAGAGGAGCAGACTGAGATACAGGTGTGCCAGGATGTCCTCCGAGATGTACTCACAGATGATGGATAAAAAAGAGGCTGTAATTAACCCACGAGTAAGGATCTGATCCCATTGCAGTAACTGGGAGAGACCAACTAACAAATAACTCCAAAATCAAATAAAGCCAAAGAAGAACCAAGGAATTCTTTAACCTGATGCGACAATTACAGTGATCAGAGACATCCCCTGGTGGAAAAGTCACCGGTAACCTATTACCATGAGAAAAAGAACATCCTGATGGTGCTGTCATGGAGGTGAGTGATAAAACCTCCCTGAACCACAGGAGGGTGAGAACTGAGCTCTTAAAGGAGAACTATCCAGGGACAGGATTGTCTTTCTGCTTCAGGTTTGTACAGTACCAAGTGCAGGTCCTGGCATAATAAAGTCTTTATCACACAGCTGTGGCAGGACAAGGTGCGGCTCTGAAGTGGGGGTCCCAGGCAACACAGCACCAGCCAGCACTCCAGCACGAACACAAGGCCCAAACACTACAGCTGAAATGATGGAAGAGGTCTGCAGTGATTTCCCACTGAAGTGGGTGAGAAGTGCTCATAAACTCCTCTCCTTCAGCACCATTTTGGTAATAGAAAGTGCCAGGACAGAGACGGTAAGAACCAAACCCAAGACAGCAGAAGCAACAAAGCCCCAAGAGCCAAAGCAAAGGTTTGCCTTTTGCTTTAAAGCCCTTCCTATTAGCTGAGTCATATCAGCCATAACCCCATAGAGATCAGCCGAAGAGCACAAAGCAATATCCACCGCCTGATGAAATCAAACCACAGTCCCCATAATCCTTACCAGTTAACAAGATTTGATGAAAAAGCAGCTAAATAAGTGTGAGCAGGGGCGAAAAAAGCCCAACCAGCTGGGCATTGTACTTAGAGCACAGCTATCTGTGCTGATGGATGAACTAGTGACTCAAAATGGGATTAGAGAAGCTAAATCTTTGTCATGATCCTAACATGAAGACCACGGTACTCAAGGAGTTCAGTGATGCACCTAAGAGTTAACCTGAATGGGAGCAGGTCTGTGCTGTGCTGTCTTTCTTGGCCTTGTTGCGCTGCACATACACCCTGGTACACGACCAACTCAGCTGGTTAATAGTAAGGAATGAGCCTGGATGAAGCTCACTGATCACCAGCAAGAAACCACCTGCCTGCCATTGTCTTGTCAGGGTTTCCAGCATCTGATGGGATGTAAGATTATATACACTCTCCTCTTTTTCAGTGTAATGTTGGCTCTAGGAAATGGGGTTTCAAGCAATACTCTACAGAGTCCAGGTTTCTTACTGGGATCATAAGAAACCAGCACTTCCTGGTGCAAAACATTCTTAAAGGTGAAGCCCAACTGAGTTCCCTCAGAGCTTTAAACTGACAGAGGGGAGATTGAGATTAGACACTGGAAAGCTCTTTCCTGTGAAAGCTGGCACAGGGTGCCCAGAGAAGCTGTGGCTGCCCCATCCCTGGCAGTGTTCAAGGCCAGGCTGGACACAGGGGCTTGGAGCAAGCTGCTCTAGTGGAAGGGGTCCCTGCCCGTGGCAGGGCTTTAAGGTCCTTCCAACCCAAACCGTTCTATGATTCTATGGTACTAAGCAGCAATGCAAAGACAGTGGGGATGAAGTTTGGCTTGCCCTAGGTTTCCTGCAAAAACTCCTCTACAATTACCACTATGATTACTAAATTATTCATATTTATACCACATAACCAAAATGTTATTTGCTCTTAAAATCCTAGCATAACAAATAACTGGTACCACCTTCTACACAGCTGATTTCACACTGTGACATGCTCTTAAGATACATAAAGCTGAAGAGAACAGGAAGGTTTCTATGTTCAGCTGATTCCTGACTGCAGGTATCAACTGTTTTATGTCTTGCCCCTACCAGGTTTTTACCCAGTCTATGTGTCTTAGGTGAAATCACCCGTATATGTGCCTGTGTGTCAAAGCAAGGAAGTTAAGCTATCTCTGTGTCAACTTCTTTGCTGGTGAGGATGAGCTGGGCTTTGTGATGACAGGTTGTTTCAAAGTGGAAATAAGTCCAGTAGAGAAGAAAGAAAAGCAGCCTTGGATAATACATCTCCCATTGCACAGTTATACTGGTTGAATTAAATCACTGAAATATTTAATATGCCTTCCCATACTGAAGTGCAAACCCAGTGACACTGCAGCTGAATCCAGTGATACACCTCCAGGGGCTAAATACAACCCTGGAACCCCCCCCAGATCTTCATATCCAACAGCCACCTGATGTCTTAGTGATACAGAGACATTGCTTAGACCAAGGTGAGCTTTATGATGTTTCATCCTATACAGCAGAAGGGGAGACCTTGACAATGCCTTGCTGGAACCATGCTCCTGGTGCAACATCATGGCATGCTGCTTTGAGACAAAGAAAGCCACAGGCCCTCGCAGCCCCTCTGTGATAACTTAAGAGCACAACACAAGCTCCCCTCGGTCTGCAGTTCTATGTAAGCAGGGCAGAGGAAACTGGCAAAGGATTCATGTGCTTCAATGCACTAACCTTGACCAGCCCCGCTTCCAGCATGGAGACAGAGCAGCCATCCCGCTGCCCCACCTTAAGCCTCAACTCCCTCCCTCCTCCCGCAGGAATTTTCCCTAGTGCCATTAGAAAAGCTCTTCTCCCACTGACTCTCTCCTCAGGTGCGGTGTTCCCATAAACCTCGAGCTCGCTCCATTTCCCCCTGGTGCCTGGGAAGAATTTCCAGGGATTTCTACACGCATTCCCACCTACCGCCATGGGAAAGGCTGCAGGGCAAGTGCAGAGCGCTACGCGCTTCCCCCCACAGGTTAGAGAGAAAGCGAGCCCGGGTTTTGCGAGGGCGGCAAGGGGCCAACAGGGAAGGACGGGTCTGGGGGTTTCTTTACCCAGAATAAGAGAGGAGGCGGCAGCGAGGGGAGACCCCGCAGCGCCTCTCCCGCGCCCCCTCGCGAGTCCCCGCCGAGCCCCGCTAACAAAGCGCCGCTGCCCAAGCCCACCTCCATTTCCCCCTCCCCGGAGATGCTCGGTCCCCTGCATCCTGACCCCGAGCCCCTCCATCACCGCGCGGTACCGACCACCCTCCTCGTCCTCCCTTGTCACCTTGCTTTTCCCCCTGGGAATGCCCCCACGCTGGCAAACAGCGCCTGACCCACCTATTTTCTCCCACCAAAAGCAGCCGAGCGCCACATCCCTAACAACAACCGGCTAAAATTAGCCGAGCAGCCGCTAGCACCGCGTATTCATAGCGCGGGTGAGCGGGACCAGGCAGCGCACGGTCATACAGACATGGACATACAGACATGGACATACAGACATGCACGCGTACATACAGGCAGGCAGGCAGACAGAGGCATGCAGGTGCCGGCCGGCAGGTTACTCACACCACGAGCCTGGAGATGATCCATGAGACCATGGCGCTGCGTGCCGCAGGGCTTGGCTCTCCCGCTGGGGAGGGCTCGCCCCGGCTCCTCGCCCGCCGTCGGCCGCCGCCCGAGTGAGCGGGGCGGGCGGCTCGGCCATCCGGCCCCGCAGCCTCAGCGCAGCCTCACTGGCGGCGCCGCCGCCGGCAGCCAACGCGCAACCGGGCCCGGCCGCGGAGATTGGGCAGGACCCGAGGCCGCCTCTCCCCCTGCCCGCCCCGGTGCTCGGCGCTGCGGGAGGAGGAGGAGGAGGGATGAGGAGGGGTGAGGAGATGCTCCCCCGACGCTCCCTGCCTCCCCAGCGACATCCATCCCCCTCCTTACGGGAGGGCGGTGGCTGGACCACCATAGCCCTGCAGGACACGAAGCCAACCCAGTCTAGACTGCTCCTGTCACAGAATGGTTGGGGTTGGAAAGGATCTTAAGATCATCCGGTTCCAACCCCCTGCCATGGGCAGGGACACCTCACACTAAACCATGTAACCCAAGGCTCTGTCCAACCTGGCCTTGAGCACTGCCAGGGATGGAGCATACACCACTTCCTTGGCCAACCTGTTCCAGTGCCTCACCACCCCTACAGTAAAGAACTTCTTCCTTATACCCAACCTGAACTTCCCCTGTTTAAGTTTGAACCTGTTACCCCTTGTTCTACCAATGCAAGGGCAAAGCTAAGGTGTAGTGTCCATGAGCTTCTTGGATATATTAGGAAGAAATTGATTCCTCTCCACACCCTAAAGCTTCCCAACACAACAGATGAGGGTGTGAGCCACCCAATCACACAATCCAGGTGGATCCCCGTCAATGGCAGTAACAGGAGGTAGCCATCTCTCCCCCATGCTGGCTTTCATTAGGGGTCTCGCAGCTGGCAAATCTCATTTCCACATGCAAAACAACAAACCATAGAATCCCAGAATCATAGAACCCCAGGTTGGAAGGGACGTTGAGGGTCATCTGGTCCAACTTCCCTTGGCAAAGCATGACCTAGTGCAGCTGTCCCAGCACCCTGTCCAGTCAAATCTTAACAGTGTCCACCCCTTCCCTGAGGACAGGGGTTCATCCACAGTGTTGGCTTGATCTGCAGGTGGTTCTTCCCCAAGCTTCCTTTGGGTTCTGCTTCTTTTCCTTTACTACGCTGGCACATGCCCAATGTGACAACTGACAGAAACTGGAAGTCATGTCATTCATCCATGGGAATTCATTTTAGTCTTGTGGTAACCCTTCAATCTCAAACTTGCCACGGTGAAACCACCGTGAGGTTCACTCAGAAGCTGCTCCATGGAGCAATCAGTGGTTTCAGGTGTTAGGGCCAGGGCTCCAGCCACACTGGAGGGGTGGATCCTTGCCTCCATGCCCAACAATTGTTCTTTTCTAGGACTGTGCTTCTGCAGCAAATCTGTCCCCATCAGTCTGAGACAGCAGAGCTGGGAGAGGTTGAAATTCCCTCATGTATCATGAGTCACCTGTGAGGAGCTCTTACAGGGAGAGGTTGATCATTTCCAACCAGAGATAGCAGAGGCAGGAGCTGATCTCAGACCTGTCCAGCCCCAGCTGGCCACAGACATCCTCAGGCTCCTGCCCATCCCCATGATCATCCTGCAATTTCCAGTTCTTACCTACCTCCGTTCTCCTGCTCAGTTCCAAGTCCTCCACAATGGGATCATCTGTCGTTATGATGTAGATATGCAGTAGCACCCCTACTCCCCAGCTAAAGCTGCAGCTATAGACAGACGTAGAATCATAGAATAGTTAGGGTTGAAAAGGACCTTAAGATCATCCAGTTCCAAGTCCCCTGCCATGGGCAGGGACACCTCGCACTAGACCATCTCACCCAAGGCTCTGTCCAACCTGGCCTTGAACACTGCCAGGGATGGAGCATTCACAGCCTCCCTGGGCAACCCATTCCAGTGCCTCACCACCCTCATAGGAAATAATTTCCTCCTTATATACAATTTAACTTCCCCTGTTTAAGTTTTAACCCATTACCCCTTGTCCTGTCACTACAGTCCCTAATGAAGAGTCCATCCCCAGCATCCCTATAGACCCCCTTCAGATACTGGAAGGCTGCTATGAGGTCTCCACGCAGCCTTCTCTTCTCCAGGCTGAACAGCCCCAACTTTCTCAGCCTGTCTTCATATGGGAGGTGCTCCAGTCCCCTGATCATCCTCGTGGCCTCCTCTGGACTTGTTCCAACAGATCCATGTCCTTTTTATGTTGAGGACACCAGAACTGCACACAATACTCCAAGTGAGGTCTCACGAGAGCAGAATAAAGGGGCAGGATCACCTCCTTCGACCTGCTGGTCACGCTCCTTTTGATGCAGCCCAGGATACGGTTGGCTTTCTGGGATGCAAGCACACACTGAAGCCAGCTCATGTTACGTTTCTAATCGACCAACATCCCCAAGTCCTTCAGCACCTCTACAGCATTATCTTCTAGAGGGAGCATCCTCATGGCCACGTTGCTCTGATTCTATCTTCTTCTCTCTGTACTGGGCCTGTTCCTCCACCAGAGGGAACTTCCACCCCTCGCTCTGACCTGCAACAAGCTGTTACCTCCTCACCTTGGGTTGCAGTCTGCTCCAGGCACCGATGTTCTCTGATGACAAACAGGCTGTGAACCACAGCTGGAGCTGCAGGGCCACCACCAAACATTCCTGCCTCTGGGACTGCAAGTGCTTACAGAGCCAGCATCACTTTGAGCACTACCCAAGCACCACAAAGACAAGCCTGGGTGGTCACCTGCAAGGAGCAAGTGGAAATTAGGCAGCTTCTCTGGACAAGATTGCTCTCTGCAAGAGCTGCCTTCTCTCCCAGAGAAACCATTAGGCCATCTAGCCCAAACAGTGAATCATCCCATGGCTGTTTTGCTTGTGTATCATAGCTACATAAATACTTGGAAATCTGGTATCCAAGATTTTTCATGTATCAGGATTATTTAGTGTGAGATTCTAGACTGCATGTTGGCAGACACTCTGCATTACTACAGTTACTGATGTGATATTATGAAGTCTAAGGCACTCATCTCTCTGCATGAAAATCTGTGGAGTCACCATAGCACACAGAACCCAACACTTGGTACTTGCTGCAAATTCCAAGCATAGAAAAATGGACCAACAGGAGAAGATCCCAGATCATAAAGAAAGTACACAGGGGGATAACACCCAATGGTGCAGCGAAACATCTTTGTGTCCAAAGCATAACTCGACCTCATGCTCCTCCCAACCTCTTCCAGCTCACGCTGTTCCCTGCAAATCCTGCTCATTGCCATCACTGCTGACCCACAATTCTGTCTGTCAGGAAGGCTTGAAGGTGTTTCCTTCTGCTTGGCAAGCATGGCATGGACCAGTTTTGTGTTGCTGCTTTGTAAGCAACTGACACAATCACCACCTGATGTTTGTGGAGGGATCTTAAGCCTCAAATACAGGCAGTTAGCAAGGTAGGCTGGTGATGGAAAACCCAACCAGCCTGTCAATGTGAATTCAGGAGCTTTACTTAAATAACTCTGTGGCATAGAGAGGGTGAAGGAGAGGAATTCTGCTCTACTGAGTCATCAGTGGAAGGGTGACAATGCCCCCTACCTACTCTTCATGGGCTGTGTCTTAGGATAATGGTCATACAGCCCTGTAAGCTCAGCACAGGACATCTTGAGCATCCTGGAAAGCGCCTTTGCTTGGAGAAAGCCTTTCCTTTGGTATTAAACCACCTGATCCTGACATAAAGAAATAATGGAGAGACACAAGAAGAGTTAAAGCTGGAGGGACAGATATAAATTCATTTACACAGCCAGCTTAGCAGAGATGCTAGTGCAACATCTGGGAACAGCTTTAGCAGTGGAAGAAGGTCAGGCAGTGAAAAATCCTACGCAGACTGTACCAGTAAATAGTTTGATCTCTGTTCCCCAAATGACACAATAAAGAACTGTTGTTAATGAAGGCAGAGCCACCACCCTTGCCCTCAATACGTGCAGCCTTCTCCTAGCAACTGCTTGTCCTGAGCAGTTCACAGCCATGGAGAAGTCAGACCCCCCAACCCCTCTATGTAACCTGATTCATCCCTCTTCGGCTGAAGGGAGAGGGGATGTTAGCCCACAGCTGCCAAACCAAGGCTTCTTAGAAGAAGAATTGACTGATACACATGCACAGGGCACTGAAAAGAAAAGGTCAGGAAGGAGCAAGTGCAGACAGCTCTTAGCAAGGCTTGTCCTGCAATGGATCAAACCTACATGAGAGGCATTTCAGAATGGCTTGAGAAGAACAGACAACCTCAGCAGGAAATGGCCCCAGGTAGAGAGAAACATATCAGACAGGAAACCTGTGGTGATGTTTGAGTGCTGAAGTTGATGTGGAGAAAACCAAACAACTAAATTAATACAGAAACTAATAAAATACACATGCAACAGCAACAGGGCACACTATACATACAATGTGTAGGGTTGCTACAGGACCTACAAAGTATCAGGATAAGACAATTTGGTCAGGAAACAGAAATTCTACATCCCATCAAGGAATATACACGCACATATATATACACATATACAGATACACATACATAGACATTCTGTATCCCATCAAGGAATATGCACATACATGTATGCATGTATATAGATACACATACATAGATATGCTCTGCCTCTTGGAAGAGAAATGCTTGGCCTTCCACCCACTGGAAGAGAATGGTTCATCTCTTGCATTCATCTCCTGACTCCTACTTGGGAAGCAAAAGAAAAACCAAATAAACAAACCTCTAAACCTGTGGACATTTGGAGCAAAACCCCAAGAGGAATGCAGCTCTTGAATACAGTCATGGGAATGCCCATTTCTGAAAGTACAGCTTTACTAACAGATACAGACTAGATAGGAAAAGGTTAATCCTACTGTGTAGGAAGTATTGCTAAAGCATGTGGAGCCAGTCAGCATTTTCTGGCTGCCATTTCCATCTTTCTTATTGAATTACGTGCTTCAGAGCTATGGCCATTAGCAAAGAGAGATGAAGAAATGTCTCTTTTGCCTCAAAAGTGATGTGGTCTGGCATTAGAGCTGGGAACCGTGAGAGCTGAGAAGCACTCTTCATCCTCAGTGACTCATTGCAAGAGCTTGGGGGAAACATGGAGACCAGTGTGCTTGAATGTAGCATTTTGTTTTAGGTAACCAAAATAGGACATCTTAACCCCAAATATTC